TTTAAATTGTTAACTTTCGCCAAATGATGCCGAAACATTTTAGAAACATCCAAATGAAATTCCGGGCATACATCCAAGTCCAAAATCACCTTCCAGATCTACCGGAACCATCGAAACTCCGATAAAAGGTAAAATACTCAAAAAATCAAACCTTGGGTCATTTCCTTCAACTTCGATCTTCTTAAATGAGAGTCACACCTAAAATCCCTTTCCGAACCTCCCAAAAACCCGAACTGATGATGCACGCAAGTCATAATTACACTGTGTGAAGCTACTCATGACCTCAAACTACCGAGCCGGACGCAATTTCTCAAAACGACCAGTCGGGTCATTACAACCCCGAAGATAATTAGCCACCCCTATGGGGGTGGCAAAAACTCGAGCCTCCTCCGGGATCGAGATGACAATTGTTTGTTTGATCCCGGGGCTGACGCTAGGGGCCGGAAATTAACTAGTCAGTCTGAAACTCGAGGAAGTTCCACCCGAGTCCTTTTTTGATATCTCTAAGTCACTCAAGCCAGCGGCATCCTCGACCCTGGCAAAATAACCATAGAAGGGATCCTCCCCTCCGTGGGCTCCTTCTGCATTAGGAGTCTCCATGGCCCGAGCCTCCCGAATCATCCCCTCAGAAAATGAAGGAAGGGATGGGGAGTCTCCAATTTCTATCGCCACAAGTGGATCTCTTGGGGCGTTCTCTTCATCTCGAGGGGTCTCGGGACCGGCCTCCTTAGCTTTTTCAGCCACCTTCTCATCCCGAGGTGAGGAACATTTGGCTCCAACTGACTCGGGGATTCCGACTGAATCCCCCTCTTGGGTCCGGTCAGATTGAGGCAGCACACTTTCACCTTCGACCGATCTGGTGGCCTTTTGACCCTCGGTTTTAGTTCGTACTCGAGCCACCAGAATGGAGTCATCCTCCTTTTCTTCATCTTCTTCTTCCTCCCTTAGGAGATTGGCTAACTCCACAGATAAAGGAACGATATTTTGTGTTATTTTAAGAGCCACCCTCTTCTTAGGCTTCGGCTCATCGGAGGTCGATGTCCTCTTTCTCTTTCTCTCCTTAGCCGGCTTCGAGATAGGGAGCGGGATTTCTTCTTCACCAGATGGGGGCCTCATGAATGTGTCTTTTTCGGGACCTGCATGAGAAGAAATTGAGAAAGTTTGGAGGAATGTTTTAATCGAATCATTATACATATGAAAAAGGCTTACCATGGTTTTTGGTTTCCCACCGGCCTTTCGATAAATCGCGCCATGTGCGCTCAGTATACGTTGAGGTCAAGAAAGACTCTTGACCCAGCCCTCGAGATGGGGAACCACGCCCGGCATCCAGGCAGCAGCAACACCGAAAATTAGCATCGATAAGAGAAAGTGAAGAAATAAAATCTGCATGCAGAAACTGATAACTCATACTTACGTTTCATGTTCCATCTCTCGGGGAACGGCATGCTTTCAGCCGGAATCAGGTCCGAGGTCTTCACTTGGACGAATCGACCCATCCAACCCTGGTCTTTATCCTCGTCTATGCTTGAGATGAAAACCTTGGTGGCCCGGCGTTGGAGTTTAATCAACCCACCTCGGTAGAGTCGGGGGCTATATAACCTTATAAGGTGATTGAGAGTGAAGGGGATCCCATCGATTTTGTTCACGAAGAATCGAAGCAATATTACGATCCACCAGAAGGAGGGATAGATTTGTCTGAGGGTCAACTGGTACTTTCTGCAGAAGTTCAAGATGATTGGGTCGAGGGGATCTAGCGTGAAAGGGTAAGTGTAAACACTCATGAACTCTTCCACATGGGTAGTAATATCTTCCTCAGGGGCCGGTATCACGACCTCTTTATCCTTCAAGTTACAATCTTTCTTCACCTTTTCGTGGAAATTCTCATGTATCGAGCATATGTATCTCGATACCGGCTCGCAATGACCAGGGACCGACTAGGTTTTCTCGATCTTAAAGTCGGAACTGGTAACGCACCCCCCAGGAACACATTCCTCGGGGCATGGTTCCACCTGTGTTTTCTCGTCAGCCGGCGTGTTTTCTCGGCGGCCGGCCGAGATGATGAAGCGGTTTCTTTTTGTGGCATTGTCTTTGATGTTTTTGCCATTTAGTTTTGGGTTTAGAGAAGGATAAAGATGATGGTATTTGGTGTTTTGAAAAGGGGTTAATAATGAAACTTGAAGATTTGTAGATGAAGAACATAAAGGATGCAAAGAGCTTTGAAGATTAGAGCAGAAGCGATTGAAAGAAAAGTTTGAAAGAATGGAAAAGAGGCATATTTATGGGTTTCACGACGACGGTTCAAAGTTACTAGAGACCGACCGTTAACTGACACACAAAACCTGGAAAACTGTACCGACGGGATGTTTCGGTCACCTCTGTCTCTTATGTCACGATGATGATGTCATGGCAAATCGGGGTAACTATCGAAGACTCAATTCGTTTCTTGTCATTACACTCCAAAAAACGAGGGGACTATCTGTATACGGTTAAAATAAAGCCCACCCGAATTTGTTAATTGACCGAGACGAGGATGATGGATCGAGAACTGGCCCCGTGTTATATCGGACCAAGACATGAGGATAAGGTACTGAGCTCGGGATTCAAAGTATCAGTTGAGATCAAGACCAGTGATGATCGAGACCAAACGAGATAGACATCGAGCGAGACCGAAGATAGCATAATAACGGAAAGCTGAGATATCCGTGACCGGTCGAAGATCATGGCGAAAATCTCGGAACGGATCAACTCAGGAACAATTATTTAGCTAATCATGGGATTTCTTTCTGTAATTAGAATTGTACCATAAGCGAAATTCCTCTACTATATAAAGGGGGTCCTAATCATTTGTAAACCATCTTATCCTCGCATATCTAAGCAATACAATACTCTTTATCTCTTATACTCTCTTGTTCATCAGTTTATTTCATATATCCTAACTCTATTCTCAGTTAGTTCGAGGGCGTTCTAGCTCGAGGGCTGAATTGCAGTTAAATACTGGTTTGCTTTACTTTACTGTTAATTTCTGTTATTAATCATCGCATTTATCAATTGGTATTAGGTGAAATCACGTGTCCTTAAAACCTCCTACAAGTTTAATTATTATCCGATTTTAAGGTAAACATTTACAAAAATTTCTTAAAAGGGGAGAAAAATTTAAGCAATGCACTAAATTTTCCTATTCGACCAAATAACGCACATTAGTTAACTGTAGAAACAACTTGCTTTATGAAGATGAGTAAATTCAACTTACATAACACCCTATTCACCTTTAGCATAAACCATAAGCAGTAATCACAATGTTTCATACATAGTAAATGAAAACTGGTTTTACTTTTCTAATTCTTTGTTTCAAGACCGCGCTAAATATAACGGGTCTACAAATCTTAAAGAACGACTAACAAACTCGATGTGACATCAAGAAAATGAAAAAAATCATCACTCGCTGGTTTTATTGGGGACTTGCGTGTAGGATCTCTTTCAGTGAATGACTCTTCACAAGTGACGCAGCAATTCACGGCAGCAGCTAAATCAATCTTCGCTGAAAAAAAGTCACTTGTATCAAAATATTTAATCGAGTTCGTAAGCATAAACACAGCATTTCCATAATTATCCCGGCAAATCTGAAGGCTTTGTTTGAGAATAGGCTCTGTAGTATGATTCAATAGAATTATGACTTGACTTTGAATGTTCTTAGCCTTAGTTAAAGATAATTGAAGCATAATACGTGTCAACCCTATCCGATCACCAAAAGCGCTTTTAGGATCCGCTCTAAGAGTGTTGACACATAATTTGTAATCACTAGAATTTTTGCAAACATCTTCTATCAAATCTCCAGATGAATGGCTCACAAAAGAGAGATATATAAAAAAACATCACTATTGATGTTCTCTTGGAGTTCATCTTTCCTATCTTTTTGTGAGTCATGATGAATTATTATATAGTGCATTGTGTTATTTGCATTGATGAAGAAGATTATGTTAGATTTTATTATGTAGAGATTGTGGTAATCATAATTATCTTCTTTTTTTTTTGTTGAAAAGAATTAAATGACTGTAAGTAAACTATCATAACAAAATATCACATTAGATATTTTCTAAAGCAAAAATCATCTTTATTATTCCATCTTTCACATTTCAAGTGTTGTTTAAGGTTTTAGTATTTCCATAAAAAACATTAAATACAAGATACTATTTACTAAATTTTCATTATTAATTTCTTATCTATTAAATGCTACTCTGAAAAGTGAGTATTACTAATCACTTTTGACTTATTTAATGAAATAGCAAGAGTAAGATTGATAAAAATAATAAATTATGTCTTGGTTATTTCCTAAGTGATACTAGTTATTTTGGAATTTCTTTGTTGTTGCTAAAATATCAATTAAAATGAGACGTCGTGAGTACCTTTCCCACCCTTTTACTCATAAGTGTATATTGTTATCTCTTAATTTAAGGTAAATAATCTAAGTTCATTCCAAATATGATTTCTCACTCAAATTTTTCCTTCAGATGACTAGTAAATCTAAATGAACCAATTACGGAAAAGAAGCAGTTCACTACCGAAGATGAGGTGGAATTAACTTTCGTAGAATTCTTTGGATTTTATTGTGCATACCAAAACGTTTATAGTAAAAGAATTAATACTCATTTGCTTTTTTGTTGTTTGGAGTGGTAATGAAAATATAATTACGAAGTAAATTCACTTAAACCTAGTAACTGTTTTGTTTGCGAGACGATTCCTTCTGTCTTTTTTAGGAGAAAACGAATGCCTTTAATGCTGAATTAGCAACAAAAATGAGCTAATATTTGCCAGTATTTTTTAACGACCCAACCAATAGTTTTTGAGCATTTGCATTCCATTAGGGGGTTCGAGGTGAGTAGCTTAATACGATATTTTCACGACCCCAATTTTCCTCTGTAGGATGTCGTGTTGGCACCTAGTCTCTACGGCTAGGTAAGCCTAACTTTAATAATAACTTGATAAAATAATTAACAAAATACTAAAGCAAGTATGATAAACTGATATAATCTACTGAAATAGAATCCCAACAACACACTTCCCAAAATTGGTAGTACAAGTTATAAGCTCTACTGAGTTCACTAAAAATTCTCTAAGTATAATTGTTTCGGAATAGAGATAAACAATACAAAATAAACTTCAGAAGGTGACTCTTAGGCCTGTGAACGTGACGGCATGTATACCTTGAGTCTCCACATCGATGTTCGATCGGCTAGCTAATAATAGACAAACTCCAGAGTACCTGGATCGGCACAAATATGTACAGAAAGCATAGGATGAGTACACCACAGCGGTACCTAGTAAGTATCAAGACTAACCTCGATGGAACAGTGACGAGGGACAGTCAAGACACCTATTAGACGTAATAACCTGTACAATTATGAATATAATAGTAACAGAGGGCAATATAAAGCTAATTCATGGTAAGAATAATGTTACGATATCCGCGTTAAGAACTGGAAACAACAATTAACAACAAGGAACAAACAGATAATAACGCCACAGAGTAAGCTGAGTACAATTAAAATCCGGTGAAACCAAGTAAGGAGAAACATGTAACAACCCAATAAACAACCGTTTCCACACAAGATTTATACAAGAATTTTTCCGAGGTGCTATACCTCATAATCACAATTTGCGTGTCCCAAGTCACGAACCCTAATCACTTGGCATTTTGTTGTAACGATCCAGCCAGACATTTTGAGTGTTGTAGCCATGTTTCCCCATATACTACTTATTTTATGCTCAATTATTATTATGTTACTTGTTGAGGTAGTTGGTTTGGCTCCGGGGATTTTTCGCAATGAGTTGAGACACATAGTCTCAAGGTTGGAAGCTTAAGTTGAAAAGGTTGTCCAGATGTTTGACTTATGTGTAGATGGCCCCGAAATGGAGTTTTGATGGTTCCGATAGCTCCGTTGGGAGATATTGGACTTTAGAGCGTGTCCGGATAGTTATTTGGAGATACGCAGTTTTTTTTTGGCTTGCAATGGCAAAAGTTGGAAAATTAGAAGTTTTGGAAATTGAGAAGTTTGACCGAGAGTTGACTTTGTGATTAATGGGCTCGGATTTATTTCTGGGAGTTGAAATAGGTCTGTTGCATCATTTATGACTTGTGTGTAAAATTTGAGGTCAATCGGACGTGATTTGATAGGTTTCGGCATCGATTGTAGAAGTTGGAATTTCTTAGTTTTCGTTAGGCTTGAATTGAGGTGCGATTCATGTTTTTGATATTGTTTGATGTGATTTGAGACCTTGACTAAGTTCGTATCGTATTTTAGAACTTGTTGGTATATTTGGTTGAGGTTCCGGGGGCCTCGAGTGGTGTTCGGATGATTAACAGATCGAAATTTGGAATTGAAGGATTGCAGAAGTGCACCAAGTTTGGTGCGATCGCACCTGCGAAGCATTTGGTCGCAGGTTCGCAACCATAGAAGAGAAGGAGTCATCGCAGGAGCGAATTTAGGTGAGCTAGGGAGTTGCAAGTGCGAAGGGAATTTCCGCACCTGCGAGTTCGCAAATGCGGAAGGGGCATCGCAGAAGCAAAAGGAGGCCTGGTGAGGCAGGTCCGCAGAAGCGAGGCCGCAGGTGCGGGCGCTGTCCGGTGAAACTCCACAGATGCAGAGCTTTGACCGCAAAAGTGGAACCGTAAGTGTGGTTAAATGATGCGCAGAAGCGAAAAGGGCTAGGCAGTGTTTAAAACTCAAGGGCTTTCGTGGTTGTAATCATTTTCGACATTTCAAGCTCGGACTAAAGTGATTTTTGAGAGGGGTTTTGAGGGATTTCTTGAGGTAAGTCACTCTTGATCGCTTGTATTCAATAATATTGTTCACCCATTGAATTTCCCATCTATTTTGTGTGTTTTCGAGGTGGAATTTTAAGAGTTTTAGGCCAGGGATTGGAAAGTTAAAATTAGGGATTTGAGTGATGATTTGGTGTTGGATTTGAGTAACTTTTGTATGGTTGGACTCGTGGTTGAATGGGTGTTTGGATTTTGTAACTTATATCGGATTCCGAGACGTGGGCCCGGGGGTTAACTTTGAGTTGAGTTTTTGACTTTTTATTAAGAACTTAGCATTTTCATATGGAATTAATTCCTATAGCTTGAGTTGATTGTATCGAATTGTTTGTGCCTCGATTCGAGAAATTCAGAGGCAGATTCGTGAAGCAAGGGCTTGTAAGAGTAGAGATTTGCACGGTTTGAGGTAAGTAACACTTCTAAACTTGGTTTTGAGGGCATGAATCCCTCGTGATTTTAATCAATTTGGACATTTCAAGCTCGGACTAAGGCGATTTTTGAGAGGGTTTCTTGAGGGGTTTCTTGAGGTAAGTCACTCTTGATCATTTTTATTCAATAATATTGTTCCCCCATTGAATTTTCCGTCTAGTTTGTGTGTTTTTGAGGTGGAATTTTGAGAGTTTTGGGCTAGGGATTAGAAAGTTAAAATTGGGGATTTGAGTGACGATTTGGTGTCGGATTTCAGTAATTTTGGTATGGTTGGACTCGTAGTTGAATGGGCTTCGAATTTTGTAACTTTTATCGAATTCCAAGACGTGGCTCGGGGTTGACTTTTTAGTTGACTTTTTGACTTTTGATTAAGAACTTAGCATTTTCATATGGAATAGATTCCTATAGCTTGAGTTGATTGTATCGAATTGTTTGTGGCTAGATTCGAGACATTCGGAGGCTGATTCGCGCGGCAAGGGCTTGTTGGAGTAGAGATTTGCACGGTTTGTGGTAAGTAACACTTCTAAACTTGGTTATGAGGGTATGAATCCCTGAAATTACGTGATATGTTATTGGTGTTGAGGTGACGCGCATTCTAAGTGACGGACGTGTGGGCGTACACCATAGTAATTGTGATTTAGTCGATTCCATGGAACTATGTAGCTATCTTATCTCAATATTATTACTGAACTCTATGTTTTAGAGCACTTGAGCTGTGATTTATGCTAGAAAACATGTTTAGGCTATGTGCAGATAAAATTAGGACCCACAGTGGTTGCTCTTTGCTGTTGAGTTATTTGCTTAATTGCAGTTATGTACTCAGTCACATTCATCATTGCATATCATATCTTAGTCTATGATATCATATATTGTCACATCATGTATCATTTTTTTGGGCTGCTTAGCATGAGTGTTGTGAGCCCGAGAGACTGGAGAGATTGATGACTGTGTGAGGCCGAGGGCCTGTTTATGAGTGATATTTATGGGATCGGGCTGCACGCCGCAGTATGATTTATTGATTCGTGTCATGATTGGCTCATTATAGCACTTGGGCAGTATCTGCCCCTCCGGAGTCTGAACACCCATAGTGAGCATAGTTCTATTGATTCAAGATATTTGATTCGGGCTGGATCTGCTATGTACTGTGCTGATTGATTGAGTGTGATGAGTGAGAATTGAGACAGTCAGGGTGAGTACTCTGAGAGTGTGAGTACGTGAAGCTTTCATTGTATTGCATCACATACAACATGCATATTGGCATATAGATATATAGATGTTATATTCCTCAGATCATTCCGACTTGACATATTCTACCTGTATTGAGCTTGAGTGTTAAACCTGGAAGCATGTCTAAATTCTTGTACTTACATGCAAATTATGAATTTTTTGAGATATTATTGTTTTATTTTCTGCAAATTTTTGTACTGTTAGTTCTGTATGTGGGTTGTACTGTGCGAGCTTGTCACAACTTTCAACCACAGGTTAGACTTGTTACTTATTGAGTTGGTTGTACTCACGCTACACCCTGCACTTCGTGTGCAGATCTAGGTGTTTCCGGATATGGAGGTTGATGATCTTGGAGTTTTCAGCCGTTCTTTGATTATCGAGGTAGTTGCCTTGGCGCCCACAGACCTTGACTCTCCTTCCCTTATCTTTCATTTTTACTTATTTCGTTCTACTTTCAAGACAGCGTATCAAACTTAGTCATTATATAGACGCTCATGTACTTAGTGACACCCGGGTTTTGGGGAAATTCTGCATTGAGTTCTGACGCTTTCTTCTAGTTTTATGAGATTTTTCACTTATTTAAACCTGTTTAGTATATTTTGAATTTACATGTGTTGGTACGTATGAGTTGTCGGCTTGCCTAGTATCATGATAGGCGCCAAAATGACAGGTCGAGCTTTGGGTCGTGACACTTGTGCCCACATTAAACTTCACAATCGCACGGACAACTCACGTGCCAATACCATTAGTACCTCATATTTGTACGGACAACTCACGTACTAAGAGAGTGACAATATCTCATATCCGCACAGACAACTCACGTGCTAGCAACAACAATGCCTCATAACCGCACGGACAACTCACGTGCCAATACCATTAGTACCTCATATTTGTACGGACAACTCACGTACTAAGAGAGTGACAATATCTCATATCCGCACAGACAACTCACGTGCTAGCAACAACAATGCCTCATAACCGCACGGACAACTCACGTGCCAACAGGAGGAATATCTCATATCCGCAAGGACAACTCACGTGCCAACAGGAGGAATATCTCATATCCGCAAGGACAACTCACGTGCCATTAGTACAACTTTCACACAGAAGACAAGTATACGAGAATACATGTAAATGCTCAATAAACATCAAGGTTCATCTTATTAAACTGACATGAGTGAATAATTATATGTATGCTTGTGCAAGTGTTCTATCACAACTCAAGTCAACAAGGGTAGAGACAACGAATGACACATAGGAAACAACATAACAAAACGTAAAATGCATGACTCACACAAGGTAGGCACACCACCACACAATTATCATCAATAACAATGCCCCAGGACTTGAGGCATTGTTGGTCCTATGGCAACAGCTGCAAAACCGTTGCAATAGACAAGGTTTTTGATGACCAGTTGCAATAGACAAGGTAACCGTTGCAACAGAGCTACTGGAACGGTTTAAGGACCGTTTCACCAGGTCGTGTCGCAATAGCTCTACTACAACGGTACTTGCAACGGTTTGTATAACCGTTGCTATTTCACTATCTATTACAACGGTTTTTCCTTCTATTACAACGAAATTTTTAGTCAATTGGAACGGTTCATAATCGTTGCAATATCATTTTATGCAAAGGTTGTTAAAGCTATTGCAACGCCTAGATTATGATATTACAACGGTTTCGAATAACTGTAGCAACGGTTTTATTGAGACTATAATCTAGTAATGAACGTATAGCAACGGCTCACAGCACCTATAGCAACAGCTTATAGAAGCTATGCAACATTTCAAACATACTAGGCTTAGTGTAAATAAATAATTATGCATAATTAAATGTAATACACTAAAATTTATATAAATTATGAAATAAAACAATTCATAAAAAAAAAAAAAAAATTATCCAACTGATAATATCCATAAGAGCAAAATATCAAATCGTTTTACAATTCAAGAGTATCATAAGTTTTAAAATGAATGAAAATAAAAGATTCCTAAAATATCTAAAACTTCATCAACAACTGAAATCTTCTTAAGCAAGGTCATCACTGCTTTTGTGGTCCCTTTATTCATTTACATGATAAATAAGAGTATGAGATAACATTCAAGTCATGTTGATCTTTTTGGCAATGTTACATGATTTATCAACAGCTCATCTATACTTAACTTTTTTTTACTTCAAATAGACTAATGATAAAAGCATAAGTATATAAATGATTTGACTGCCATCGAGTACTGGGTACATCAACTTTCACCCATTTCACTAAGAAGGTACATATATACTTAATAACTACACAAATTTTCTATCTCTAGTTTAAGAAATCTTTTTCATAACCAAATTGTGTTTTTTTTTCTTACAGAAGAAGAATTGGTTTTACTAGAAGTATATCTAAGTATAGAGGAGTTGCAGGGTAATTAAACCCATTGCACCTTGTCTAGTAGCCAATATCCCAATCCTTTACTACCTTTTCATTCAAAAGAAACAAGCGATTCTTTGAATTTAATCAATTCCAGGAATCATCACAATAACAGACGGGAAGCAAGAATCAGACGAGGTTGGAAACAAAGATCTATACTTAGTTACTTACAATAAGTACTTTATTTCACTCCATTTAATTTTTTTCAATTTCTGATCAAATCAAGATCATTGACAGAGAAAGGAAAATTTGAAACTTGGCAGTTATCTAGGAATAGATGAATAGTAGTTTCTTCACATGAATTGTACATGAGAATAGATCAATCAATTGTAAGAATGAAAATCTCTCAATCTAGCAAAGAAATCAAATATAGTAACTCGCTGTGCAGAGTCAAATAATTACCATAGTTATTATCACAAGTACTGGAAATTTTAACTTTCTACATCATGTGGTTTTTTCCCCCTTTTATTCATTTCCCCCTTTTTTCCTATCTTAGATTAAAATTCTGGTGTTTCTGTAGAAATATAGCTTTCTCAAGTAATCCTCCTCACGAGAGAGATGTTAAGTATGTACGTATCATGGGTATTTATAGTAGATAGAAAGTTATAAGAGGAAGAGAAAGAAGAGTAGAGTTGGTGTAGCATCTAAAATAAATACTGACCTTGTTTGTTACTACTAGTAGATGGACGATGAAATATTTGTTGAATAGCAGTTTGTGGTGCAGAGGTATCGATCTTCTCCCGATGAATGAGCATCGGATATAGCTAGCATTTCAACCACGTTATAACATTTATAGAGGCCCAGAACCTCCAACTTTTCCTTTTAAAACTCATTTCGTAACCCCCCAACCATACAATTTCACGCGTCCATGATGCTTGGATTCTATGGCAGATATAATTGCGTCAACTGATTGATTGCCATCTTCACTTTCTTGAGTTGGTCCTTCTTAGGATATTCCTCCAACTTCTGGTTATACATTAAAATACTACACAACACAATAACAAATAACCAAAATGAAGATTTTATGGTAAGCTAAAACAGAAAAATAGCAACAATATTTTCAAATGAAAAACCATGGAAAAATCTCTAAAGTTCTGCACATTAAAATCAAGTGTGCAATATTCAATTAAAACACTATTACAAGTGTGTTAGCCATAGAACCGAAGCATCATGACAAATCAATTCATCTGCCAGAGGTGCAAAATTGCTCAAAATTGTATAATTGTTCCTACTTTCCATCCTATTATTAATTATATCGTTAGCTCTAAGCTGGGCATGTCACATGACGTTCTTGGAAGAAAATATACTTTAATCAGACGAACAAAGAAATCACGCTTATAATAATTTAAATAGATTTTACAATTGAACTAAGTAACATGTCATGCAAAATACTGAAGTAACATGACATTCTTTATAACTTTTGATGAATCAATTTGAAACTGAATTTCTTGTCTCTTAAAATTGTAAAATGAGGCTACAAGGCATTAACTATTAAAGCAGAATATTCTACTACAATTAAGTCAACTAAAAAATGAGAAAAAGGAAAACAAAATGCTGCTTTCAAACCCACAAGACCAACTTCATCCATTAGCAGGCAAGAGTTTGGAGCCACAGTTAGCTAAAGCTAATAGGAAAGAGCCATGCTAGAATCATTCAACTTTTTGGACTACCTCCTAAACCACACCAAAACACAAAATAAGCATACAAAACTCATTCTCAACAGTAATCCAAAGATGACCACTGATAAAATACACACCAACACCTTGGTCTTAGATTTTTTGTGCTTCCGTAGATGATTTTACTGACTTTCTAAGATGATTCATAAGAAAGAGTTGACAAGGGATGATTAGCAGCTACTAAAACCCACAAATAGCCTTAAAAAGGGGCAATCAATCAATTTTAAAGATCCAACAAAAATGTCAAGAAGCAAAAGAACCCTAACAGATCCCCAATTTTAAGAATAAAGAGCAAAAATAGTAGAATTTTAATATAAAAAAACCCTAACATATCCCTAATTTAGATTCAAAGCTTCAATAGAAAGCAAAATGATTAATTCAACAAGAAATTAGTAAGTGAAACAAGAAAGAGATGATTAATTCATCAAGAAACTCCCAAATCTTAAATACATTACCACACATCTTAAATTAGGGATTTTAGATTCTGCACATTTAACATGCAACAAGCAGTATGTGGACTAAACGAAATCTAAGATCGCTAAAACATCTATCCAACAAAACACACTTATCTTACAAACAAAATCCGTCACCCAATAGAATTTTACAGTTACCGGCAACGATGTACAACTACCGGCAACGAGATGCTATATAGATACAGGTTTCCAAAGCTATTTGGCACAGATTCTGGTGATGATTTACATGTACAACTACTGATGATGGATTTGGGATGATTCTTCCATAGATCTCAAGAAAATGCTGAAGAATTTTGGAAGAGACTTTGTTCCTTAGGTCTTTGAGTGTGTTGAGGTTATTTGGAGTTTTAGGAGTTTTGCAGATGTTATAATTAATTAAAAGATAAAAGATAAAAAAAAATAAAAGAATAGAGTTGGACTAGCATAGTGAAATGGGGGAAAAAGAGGAGGGAGCAATCCGACCCAATAGATATTTTTACCCCAAAAGCCGTCGCCAAAGATACGTCTACTGCGACGGTTACAAAAGCGTTGCAAAAATTGATGCTACAGCAACGGTTCCTATAGAGAGGCAACGGTTCTGTTGTGGCAAAAGCACTAACCGTTGCCATATGCAATCTATTGCAACGGTTATACAACCGTTGCATAAACAATCGATGCAATAGGCCCAATTTCTAGTAGTGATGTACAACAACAAAGTAAATGCCTGCCTTGTCTCATCGCACGCGCATAATAATATTCCCGCATTGTCTCGCCACATGCTCAAACCCCTATATATATATATATATATATATAACATACATTGTCACGTCGCATGAGCAAATATCAATAATATAATAGCACAGACAACTCACGTGCGAACACCCCGACAATCCTCCAAACAATATCACGTGTGCCAAAACACAACAACATAATATATCAAACTGCACCACATCTGCCTGTATGCCACAACATCTCCTCAAAACAAATTCCAATACAACAACCACACATAGACATCGGCTCAACAACAACAAAATAACACGAGAGTACGACAAGTAAATCGACACAAGAATTACAAAACACAAAGAAACTAAGAGCAGCTCACAATGAAAGACATGACAAGAAATATTGGTTTCAACAAGAATAACTCAACAATGATAGAAACAATGTGTAACAACGATATCACATAAGAGTAACTCAACATTAGGAGAGATAACATGTAACAATGATTCCAAATAAGAGTGACCCCAACGATAAAAGAGATAACATGTAACGATGATTCCAAATAAGTACAACTCAACAATAAGGGAGTTAACAGGTAATAATGATTCCAAATAAGTACAACTCAACAATGAGAGAGATAACATTTCAAAAAAAAGGATAAGTCAACAATGAAAGAGATCATAAAAATTATGGATAATCAACTATGGAAGAGATACATGGTAATAAAAGAGGTAACAACTTCAATTAAGGTATATAAAAGTATATTTGGCAATAAAGGCTGGAACATGAACCAATCAACTTCAAATAAGACATGTAAAGGTAAATCTAGCAATCGAGGAATTAACATGGTGAGACAACTTCATTTTAATGTGCATAATAACCTAAGAGTCTAACCAGTCAAATTTCCACATATAAGTCGTGCACACACTCGTCACCTTGTGTACACGTCTTTCATGTAGTTCAAATAGTACAAACAGACCAATTCATATGGGGTAGTTCCCCTCAATCATACTCTAAAATAGCTTTTACTTTACAATTCACCTCCGCCCAGTCTAACTAAAATCGACTCAATAACATCAAACAATGCAAGAGAAATCAATTCCAATAATTAAAGCTATGATCTTTACACAATTGCTCAAAAGTCAACAAAAGTCAACCCTGGGCTCGCCCGGTCAAAACACGGGTTCAATGGTAGATTCTAACTGCCCATGACCCCACGAGTTCATATATCTGATTAGTTTCCAAATCCGAGTCCAAATCAACTCTCAAAACTAAATTTCTTATTTTTTAAAAACTTGGCAAAGTTTCACAAATTTCACTTTGATCTACATGATTTTGACGTTAAAATCCAAGATACATTGATAGAATATGATTAGAAATAGACTAGAATCACTTACCAAAAGATTTCAGATAAAAATCCCTCTTCACAATCGCCTCCTACCGAGTCTAGGATTCCAAAATATGAAAATGAGACTAAAAATCCCGTCCCTCAGCTTAATGTCCAGGCGTATGTGTCGCAATTGCGACCTGGGTTCGCAAATTTGAACCCGCAAATGCCAGGAATCCATCGTAAAAGCGAAGAATCCCACATCCCTTCTATCATCGCAATTACAATGAATTGTTCGTAAATGCGAACATGGACAATTCGCAAAAGCGATAACAGTGATCGCAAATGCGACCAATGCCCAGCCCAGGCTAGTATTGCAAATGCGATGGGGAGTTCGCAAATGCCAACTCCTCAGGCCACTGTGCTCTTCGCAAATGTGATAATGAAGCTCGCAAATGCGATAGTCGCAAATGCAACCTATTTCTCGCAAATGCGAGTTCTGAGAACCAACAAAAATCTGAACCTTCTATGAACTCTCCGAAACGTCTTCGAAACTCACTTGAGCCCTCGGGGCTCCAAACCAAAAATCAAAAAAAGTCTGAAAACATAACACGAACTCGCTCGCGCGATAAAAATATCAAAATAACATCCTAAATCATGAATCGGACCTCAAAACAGATGAATCAACATGAAACTCAAGGATTTTTAAGAACACAACCGCGCGTCCAATTTTTATTAAATCAACTAGGAAGTTTACGAAACTTTGCGGACAAGTTTCAAATGACAAAATAGACTTATTTCAAGTCACAAAATAGAAATCCAAACACGATAGCAATGTAGTAAACCTACGGTCAAACTTATCAAAATTCTAAGCCTTTAAATTTTCAACTTTCGGGAAAAATAACACAAATCAACCTACGAACCTCTGAATTCGATTCCGAGCATACGCCCAAGTCCAAAATTATGGTACGAACTTATCAGAGCCATCAAAATACCGCTACAAGGTCATTTTATAAAAGTCAAACCTCGGTCAACATTTTCAACTTAAGCTTCTAAAGTGAGAATCACTTATCCAAATTCATTTCGAATTATCGGAATATCAAATCCTACCATGCACACAGGTCATAATACAGAATATGAAGTCATTCAAGACCCTGAACCACTGAACGGATCGCTAAAGCACAAAATAACCGGTCGGGTCGTTACAGATGTATTATGACTTATGCGTATTATCGGTTTTGGTTTTCGAGTGGTTTAAATTTATTTGGAAGAATGATTCTCAACTAAGAAGCTTTAAATTGGAAGAGTTGACCAAGTTTAACTTTTGCGCGTTTGACCTCGGATCAGAGTTTTGATAATTTTGTTAGGTCCGAACAAGTAATATTGGACTTGGACGAATGCCCGAATTTTCATTTGGTGGCTTCTAGAAGGTTTTGGCCATAATTGGAGAAAGTTGTCAGTTTGAAGGTTTGGAAGGTTCATAAGTTTGACGGGGAGTTAACTTTGATGATATCGGATTAAGATTATTGTTCCGGGAGTTGCAATAGATTTTTTATGTCATTTGGAACTTGTGTACACAATTTGAAGTCATTCCGAGTTGATTTGAAATGGTTTGGCACGAGTTTTGAAAATTGAATGTTCAAAAGTTTATTAAATTTGATTTGAGGTGGGATTCCTGATTTTGATTTTGTTATGTGTAATTTGTGACTTTGAGTATGTATATGTTTTGGGAATTGTTGATATATTTGGACGGGGTCCCGAGGGGCTCGGGTGAGTTTCGGGGTGGTTTCAGATCATTTCGGAGGATGATTTCATAGCTTGTTTCTACTATCTTATGTTGCCTCAGTGATTCTTCGCGATCGCGAAGATGTAGACGCAATCGCGTACATTGTGATTTGGAGCTGGGTAATTCTCTCTTCGAGTTAGCGTAACTCTGTGAGGTTTGTGCATCACGTGTGCATTGTCGAGTCGCATTCGCATATAGGCGAGGGAGCTGGAGGCTTTGTTCATCGCGTTCGCACAGTAGGCAACACATTTGCGAAGGTCGATCAGTGGTGTTCATCGCGTTTGTGAGGGTTGTGCCGCGAATGCGTAGTGTTATTTTGCGGCTATTTATTTTGTTCATTACGACCGCGAGACTTATTCCACAGCCGCAAAGGGTATCCCTGGAGCAGTGTTATAAATTACTCTATTTCGAACCTTGAGCTCATTTAATCACATTTTGAATTGGGGAGCTCAGATTTGAGCAATTTTGGAGAGGATTTTCACCACATGGATGGGGTAAGTATTTTTTACTTAGTTTTAGTTATATTTCATGATTCTATCTTCGATTTTGGCATTTGATTAATGATTTTAAAAAGAGAAATCGAGAGTTTTTGGCTAAACTTTCCTAAAGTGAATAATTTGATTTTGATCATCGATTCAGAGTCGAATTTGAGTGAAATTAGTATGGTTAGACTCGTAATTGAATGGGTTATCCTAATTTATGAGTTTGAGTTTTTGGTTGACTTTGAGTTTCTGATAAAAGATTCAACCTTTATTGCTTGAGTTTGTTTCTCATGATTTTATTTGATATATTTAGTTGCTTTTGGCTAGTTTAGAGCCGTTCGGAGGTTGATTCACGCGGGATGGCATTTCTAGAGTATTATTTGGCTTGATCAGTATTTGATTTGTCTTGTTCGAGATAACTAACATATCTAAACTTAGATTTGAGGGTACATAACCCTAGGTACTATATTACATGAGAGGTATTGGGGTGACGCACGCGCTAGGTGATGAGCTTATGTGCGTGCACCAAAGTGTTTATGACTACATGTGGCTTTTAGACTATCATTAGATTTGTTTTGCTATCATGCCTCGTTATTTCCACATTTTCTCTACTTGTATGATTGATTGAGCTATGATTTCATGTTAGAAACCATGTCTAGGTTATGTGCTAATTGTTCGAGACATGATAAGACTATTCTTTCTGTTTCTGACCTATTTGCCATGATTATATACATACTCTCGGTCGTGATGCTATATCCGTATATGGTATCTCTGTCTTAGTTCTTTCTTACTTGATTCCTCTCATGTTGTTGATGCCTTATATGTGTAACCCTATTGAAATGAGTATTATAGATTGTGATTATCTGAAACGTGAGAAGTTAATGAATGAGCTTGGGCTATAGAGTCGATTTGATATTGGTTTTAAGGTGACACGTATGTCAAGATCATATTAGGCTAAGTGTTATTGATTTAGGGCGATGCGTGCGCAAGGCCTCACTATTGGGCTATGTGATTATGATTAACACTTGGGCAGGATCTACTTCTCTGGAGTCTGACATGCCAACAGTGGGTGCAGTGTTTTATATACGTGCTTTAGT